GATAACGTCGTGAGATTTACGCCAATGGGCTACGGGGAAAGATATATCGGACTCTATAGAGAGGGAAAGATTAGGGTCCAAGTTATTTTAAGTTAGGAATGTTTTATTTTATTTCAAGAATTGTAATGAGTCGTATTTCAGTAGGATTCATGTTTAGGTTCCGGGTATAAATATTAGACCCCGATTATTGTACAAGACGAACAATCAATCAATACAATTACTTTTCCGGCTTCACACCACCCTTAGGAGTAGGAGTACTATAGATCTAGGCGAGTTCTTCAACAAGCAGGGCTGCATCGATAGATCGACCTCCAGCTTGTCTGTGAGTACCGTCACAACTTGTATTATTACTTGTAAGGCTGCATCAGCTGATTGATCTCTTACAAGTTGTAGTAAAAGTTAGTTATCGATTTGTATCATTATTTGTAAGGCTGCATTAACCGATTGATCTCTTGCAGATACTAATATTAATCAAAGTTATCGATCTTGTAATAAATAACTTGTTATTTAATACAATATCACCAGTTATCGAATCTGCCAAGATTAGTAAGATTTTCCTTGTTGTTGTTGGTTGATTCACCGGTTATCGATCTTGTTATAATTAATATTTTATTAATTATAACAAATCACCTGATTGAGATAGAGATAGAATCGGTATCACATCATCTTAGTTGGTCATCTTCTAGTCTGATCATACTTTAAATCTTATAATTGATGGCTTAATTCTGTTAGATCAGCTATTTTATCTCTATTCGAATCAAACATAGTATGCATTCAAAGACATGTTCTAATCTTGAGTAAGTTCACTAGTTAATAAGATCTAATCTAATGACACAACTATAGCTGCATTGACCCGGTCGAACCTCAATGGTAAGACTTTGGATTAGAGATTATTGATTAGTGGTTTTATTCATGATTGAGATATGTACTCTGTTTGTTTGCTATGTATGCATCAGCTATTTTAGTCGATTCGCCTGTGCTTTCACACATATAGCATGTTTTTCATGAACCTATCAATATATAGATGGTTTTATAGATTCTTTGGCTTTAGTTTATTATTATTATCATAGCTATATCGATCTGATCGAACCTCACTGTTGATGGTAACAGATTAGATTCAGAGCGTTTGTAGATTTATTTGTACTAGACAGTCGATTTATTCGCATGTTATATCCTTTCTCGTTAAACTTATCGGCTCAATGCTTTACACTGGTTATATCTATCTAGCTGATGATGTTTCTTTATATTATTTATATTTGGGTGTATTGTACTTTTCTGTCTAGATTAATCAATCATAATAAAATCGCTATGACCCATGAGTATCGGTTATTTTGAATTCATACCATCATCATTGATATTAGTAGATAATCTTCAATTTCAACGATCCTTGCTTTACTGATATGTTGGATATCGACTATTTAGTCGATAGCCCTATCGAATCGGATGTTTAGTCACATATTTGGAACTGTCTAGAGCAACACCGACATATTCCGTCTTAAACTACTGATAAGATTTTCTCTACTTGTTAATTGCAGGTCAAATTGACTGGCACGCCGTTGGGTTTTCAGAATCAACTGATCCTGTGTTGAAGCCAAGTAGATCTTCAATCTCATTCCGTTCAGATCGTCTGGCTTGCTGTGTGTTAATTGCATCGCCACATTTTTACGCCAACAGTTGTAAACGTTTTGATCTGGATGTTGCATATGTTTTCACACATATGTTGCAACAGTATGTTCCAAAATGTTTCATCTATTTTAGTCTTCTGTTGCAGCAATTGTTTTCATGTTTTAAGTTGCAAGTGTTCTATCTGGATGTTGCATATGTTTTCACACATATGTTGCAAGTGTATGTTCCAAATATTTCACCTGTTTCAGATGTATGTTGCAAGTGTTTTATCTAGATGTTGCATATGTTGCAGTGCCCATACACATATGTTGCAAGCGTATGTTGTAAATATTTCATCTATTTCATATGTATGTTGCAAAGAATAAATACTTTACATTGCAAGTGTTTCATCAACACGTGCGACTAGGAGCGTAGGCGTATGGTCCTCTCGGTAGCGGTCTCCTGCGTCTTGCTAGGAAGCCAAGCCAGGTGCTGCAATGAAAGCGCGTGAGCACAAAGATGTATGGGTGTGGCAGCAGGCGTGGAACACAAAACTGCATCAATGCTCAACTACTCTCTCTCTCTCTCTTATTCCGTTGATTGATGCGCCAATCGCCAAAGAAAGATCACGCGCCAAAGAAAGACAACATCTTGACAACAGGAGTACGCGGCCAAGCGTGGCCCGTCGCTGCTGCTCCTGATGGCAGCGGGCGCAATAATCCCCCCCCCCCACAAGCGTGCATGGTCAAATCAGGACCCAATGGCAGAGGCACGGGAAAGTCGCAGGCGTGGGCGCATCAATCTAGCAAATTATAATAGTGGGCAGCAGGCGCGGGGCAGTAGCATCACGTCCTGTGGAGACGGGGGCAGCAGGCGCGGGGCGTTCGGACACGCTGCTGGCACCGGACGTCCAGGCGCTAGACGTCCCGAGAAAGAAAACGCAAGTCTCCTAGTCCCTAACAGGTATGGGGGTTTTCTATCATTTTATTATATTTTTCTTCTTAAAACTAAGAATAAACATAAGTCCACCATCAAAGTCTGATTAATACGATTAAGCAGTCAAACGAAATGTTTTCATTAATCCATCCGAGCAACGGATCAACAAGTCAAATTGTTGCTCTCTCCTTAAATCCGATCAACCTTCGGTTAACAGCACTTGATCCATATTAAAATTCATATTTATGTCATTCATTCTCGGGGTATTACAGTTATATCCCAAGTCCTTCTCCATCTCCTTCGGATTTGGTGTGATATGTTTTCACACTATATATTATTTGAGATAAAGAAACTGTTGGGAGAGAACATATGTGCTGTGAAAATAGGAGAAATAAATGAATTTAGAACAAAAGATGATCTTAGTTTAAGGCCATCAGTTCTAAATTAGAAGTGAGTTTGGATACTTGTAATCCTATTTGTAATTTAGGACCTACAGCAGGAAAAACCTTCTATTTATTTATTTATAGAGAGATAAATAGTACCTATGTACCCAAAAATCCACGATGACTTATAATTATCTCCAGAATGCAGGAGAGAAATATATACTTGTAGCCCCATTTATCCCTAGAAATTGTAAGTACACCAGTTCTAAATTATGAGTCGTTTTGAAATTCATGTATTTCTCATATTTGTCCGTTCTAAATTGTGGGCCATTTTGGATAATCATTTTCTCTACAGTACCATTTATCTAGGCAAGTCGTATATTCAAATAATATATAGTAAATCTATATACCTAAAAAGTAAAAAATGAACTATAATTTAAGATGGATAGCTATAAAATAATTTTAATAAAATAACTTGTACGACATGGCAGAGGGGCTTTTATTTATGGACAGTCTGGGCTTAGCCGGTTAGCCCCACATAAAAAGGCAAAAAAGCTACTAAGCCCTACCGGAAAGGATATATACGGAAACAAAAGGAAAATAGGTTTCCAAAACCCAGAACGGGTCCGGAAGCCCACCTGTCAGCGGGAAGTGGAGCGAACCACGCGTTATGGGCTGGGACACGGAACGAGCCCATAAAAGCCTCCGCGTTCCTCTGCCCACGGACTCAAGGACGAACAGGATCTAGGGTTTGTTCCTTGCTGGGCCGAGGCGAGCCGCGATCCGATCCAGTAGTAGCCCCACGCCGCGCCGAGCCGACTGGTTTCCTGGACCTCCTCGTCCCCGTCCATCTTCCACTGCAAGGTATCCATCCCACCCACCGCACCCAACTGCAAGCCCTCTCCCTCCCTCCCCGCCTCGGTGTTCCTCCCTCTGCGCGGATTGATTGCTGGGTCTGCTGGGGTGTTTGCTGTGATCACTGGCTTGGATTGGGCCTTAAACTGTATGGAGGGCGGGTAGATCGATCGTCGATGGTGTGAGTTGGGTGGGGTTTTTCTGTGCTTGATGATTGCATTGGTTGGTTGGTACCTGCTGGACCGAATCGCTGTATGTGTCCGTAGGGTGTGCGTGCTTGCCGTGGTAGGAAGGAAGCTGCTCGATGATCGTCGTAGCTCGCTCGAGCCTGAGGTTTAGTTTCGATCGGTTTCCAGTTTATGTTTTGCGCCTGCTATAACCAACGCCATGTGGTCGGAGAACATCGTCAGGTGAAACAGGATGCAATTTGTTCTCGAACCAAAAAAAATGCAATAATTTTTAATATGGTGTTTTCTGATCTTCCTTTAATCTGTTTCGTGTAAACTTACTGCCAGAATTTCCATCCCATACTATCTAATCTGGTTGCTCTGTGTGTTCAACAAGTGTGAGTTGTTATTGTCACGGCCCATGGTTAGAGTTCTTACTCTGAATGCTCTGTGTATACTCAACAACTAAATAACGTCATATGTGCTTGGCATAGAAGCGATGGACACTAACTAAATAATGTCAGATGTGCTTGGCATAGAAGCGATGGACAGTATATGGGATGGGATATGCTTTCCTGCATCGTCCTCTTTTGTTGACAAGTACACTGCTTCCCGACTAGAAAGTCTGTCATATTTTAATAGCTAGCTTACAAACATGAATTTGTGATTTGGATCCACTTTCTGGAACCATTGTTATTTCATACAACGACTAAGTGCTGTGATACTGATTCTCTCATGGAAAAACGTGATGTAAATATGTAAGGAATATTTACATATTTACCATCATTACGATGTGAGTGGTATAAGAAATACCATGTCAGTGACTCATGTGTCAGTGACACTGTGTAAGATGTCATCCGTAATAGTGGTAAATATGTAATGCTGAATGTATATATTCAACTTATTGTGCAAATATCTGTGACGGTTTCACTAGATAGATATATTGCATTTTACTTGTAGCTCTTCAACCCGTGTCTGTGTTCTGGTTTGACTACATTATCTCTGACATGATTGTATTTCTTCCAACCATTTTAGCTATTATTCTCAGCAAAGCATGGGTGATCCAAACATCAATGAATCTTCCATGGTGCATGGCACTGAGACGGTGTTCGAAGACTGCGAGATTTTCCTTGGTGGCAATGAGATGGTTTATGGCTGTGAGGCGATTATCAGTGACAAGATGGGTCATGAAGCCGAAATGATCCTTGATTACAAGATGATCGACATCCATGATAGCAAGATGGTTCACAGCAACGAGATTGTCCCTGGTGGTAGCAAGGTGGATCCTGGTGGTGAGATGGTCCCGTATGACCAGACAGTCCTCCATTGTAATCAGACGGTTCAAGGTAGTGAGATAGCTAGTGGCAATGTTACCACTGGGGTGAAACCACCAACCTCATCAAAACGCCGAAGAAAGACGTCCATGGTCTGGGAGCATTTCACTACCGAAGATTCTGAGGGATGCACACGAGCGTGCTGCAAGCATTGTAACGGAATATTCGCATACAGTTCTGGATCAAAAATGTCTGGCACTAGCCATCTGAAGAGGCACGTTACCCAGGGTCATTGCCCTGAGATTAAAGTTCAAGAACCTAGAGCTGGAGGGACAGAAAATGATTGTCAGGGTGCTGTAGATAAGCCTTCTAAGAGGCGCCGCCACACATGTACTGGTTATGCAAATGCTCGATTCAATCCAGACCGCAGTAAATCATACCTGGCGAAGATGATCATTCTGCATGACTACCCTCTGCAAATTGTTCAACAGCCAACCTTCATATCCTTTGTTGAGGGCCTGCAGCCTAGTTTCAAGGTGGTTAATACAGATGCAATAGAAGCAGAGGTTTGTGCAGTTTATCTGAAGGAAAGAGAGAGCGTGCTGAAGCAAGTTGGAAATATTCCTGGAAGGATAAATCTCACAGTACAGTCTTGGACCACTAGCCAAACTCTTGGGTATGTTTCACTTGCAGGGCAATTCATTGATTCTGAGTGGAAGCTGCACCGAAGAATGCTCAACTTTGTGATGGTCCCTTGGCCTGGTTGTTCAGAGAATGCAGTTTCTGAAGCTATCAGCAGAAGCCTTCCTCAGTGGAACATGACTGACAAACTCTTCACCGTTACTGGATATTATGATTCCTCCTCACATGGTATCTACAGTTTGAATTTGAGAGAGGAACTCTCCAGAAAGAATATTCCGATGCTTCGGGGGCAATTTTTGGTTGTGAGGTGCTATGCCCATATACTGAATGCAGCTGCAAGTGATGTCACTGCTTCGGTTCAAAGTGTCATCTACAAAATCCGTGAAAGTATAAAGTTCATAAAATCTTGTGTTAGCCATGAGGAGATGTTTGCTCACATCATTTTGCAACTGCAAATTCCTAGTAATCAGACCCTATGTCTAGACATTAAAGCCCAGTGGAACACCACCTATCTTATGCTGCTGGCAGCTCTGGATTATAAGCAGGCATTCACCATGCTGGAGAAATGTAACGATAACTACAATCAAGCACCTTCGGCAGTGGACTGGGAGAAAGTCGAGGTTGCTTGCAGGTATCTGAAGCTGTTGTATGACTCTGCAAACAGCATTATGGCAACAAAAGATCCAACTGCCAACATATTTTTCCATGAGGCTTGGACAATTCAGAGAGAGATTTCAAATGCCACAGATCATCAAGATTCTATTTCCAGTGCAATCGCAAAAGGCATGCATGAGATGTTTGACAAGTATTGGAAAGATTGCAATGTTGTGCTGGCCATTGCTGTTGTGATGGATCCCCGTTTCAAGATGAAGATTGTTGAGTTCAGTTACTCCAAAATCTATGGTCTGATGAAGGGCGCTAAGTATGTCAAGTTGGTGGATGATGATATACATGAGCTCTACAAAGAGTATGTTAGACAGCCACTTCCGTTGACGCCAGCCCATGTTGAGCAAGAGGTCACTGGCGCTCTTCCTAACGATAAGAACAACATTCCAACAGATCCTACTTCCACTGGCAATCTAGTGTCCGGCTTCGACATCTACCTTTCAGAGGTAGCCATGAGCCAGATCCCAAAGTCAGAGCTAGATCAGTACTTGGAAGAAGCCCTGGTCCCACGCATGCTGGAGTTTGACATTCTGAAGTGGTGGAAGCTTAATGCCGTCAGGTACCCAACACTCTCGAGGATGGCCCAAGATGTCCTTGCCATACCCATGTCCACGGTTGGTCGTTGGAGCTCCGTGTTCGCAGCTGGCACTGAAGCCAAGATGCTTGACGACTACCAGAGCTCACTGCACCCTGAAACCTTGGAGGCACTGTTCTGCGCAAAAGACTGGTTACAGCATTCCTCTCCTGCTGCTCCATAGACACCCAGTTTTGTGTCGGTGAAGAAGTGCAGACGAAGAGGGTTTTCAAGTAGTTCTAGTGGTAGCTGATCTTTGCATGTCGAAGTAGCAGGCATCTCTGTAAGATGGTCGTTAGGAATGTTTTACTGGCGGGTTATATCGTTGGCTGCATGCGTGATCTCTATCCCCTTGACTCGGTGAATTCAATTAGTTGCCGGTAGCTTTTAATTTTCTGTGTTCTTGGCCTGGTGCCATGCTTGCATTTGTTTTGTTACGAGCTTCAGGTTTTCATATCCATTCCATCTCTGGCGTACATAACAAAAAGAATCGCAACATTCAGGGATGCTGCTGCTTGTGAATTCTGCTCGTCCTGTCCCATCCCAGCCCAGTAGTACTATGTTTATCTGTCTGTTAATTAGGATCACCAGATAATTCTGTTCCTAGTATTTAAAAGGCAAATGATTCAGTTCTTTTGCTGGTTGAACAAATAGCATGTCATAGTGATTTGAACCTCCAAATTGTGTTGAATGTTCTTCTGTTAATCATGAATAGCTTAACTTTGTACCACTAAATAGAAGTCGCCAAGTCCATTAGGACATCAAGCAAAAATATACAGATCAGTTCAACATCTTTTTCTCCCCATGTTTCTTTTGATATTCATCGATTCATTCAGTCAAATCTAGTTAATGGTTTATCAACGTATCCATTCCACCTCTGCCTACAACTAAAGGACCAATCGGAATGCAGCTTACAGCAAATTATCACTGCAAACTTCTCGAACTACTGGCCCAGTACTGCAATCTCAACATATGATTTCAAACACCATGGAGCCATGCGAATTGACAACTGCTGAAATCTCTTCCTTCACTGGGCCAAAATTCTTTCCACTCCAAACTTCAGTGCACCTACATAGGTGTTCTTTCAAAAAAGTTCTTTTGAGAACCTTTCCAAGATCTGATATTTGTACGGTCATCTTCCTGCTCACGGAGTCGAGGTTGAAGAACGCGAGATAGATTTCTCCTGCACCATGGTAGATAGCTCAGAAAGAATATGTTTTCTCATGCATTACCCAAAAATAGAAACAAATGAAATGGTCATCATTTGAAGCTGAAACTATCTCGATAGGGAATACAAAATATATCAGACTGCTAAATCTTTATTAAAGTTATGTAGATATTTTAGGCTTATGTATGTACAAAATATGAAAAGGAGTTAGGAAAACTATCAGTAAAGTAGTATATTCCTTGTGATGAAAATAATAAAGCACAAAAGCTTATCCACATCAAGTCTAATATGTGCAAAAAGGTTCTGTTCCCATATCATCCAGGCCCTCAAAGGTTTGTCTGCCTAGAAAAGGGTTAATAGTTGATCGTAACCCTTACATTCATGCATATTTGTAAAAAGAAGAAATGCGGGAAATAGCCATGGTGGTCTACTGGTCATGTGTCTAAGGTTGAAACTTTGGACTTAACAGAATTGGTGAGTTGGAATTCAGCCATAGTTGAGGGGAAGAACTACCTCTAGAGGTAGGCACATAGAGACTATAGTCGGACTTCTCCCCTTACAGTTCAAACTATGAAAATCAGTTTCTGCGTTCTCTGTTTAAAAAATAAAATATGGTTTCAGGCAACCTCTTAAGGTCTCTATTATCCAATTCTAAAAAAAAAGGGGTCTCTATTATCCACTCTTGTAATATCTCTATCTGCAGCCTTGGTGTGATTTGTGTGTCATGTGGTCATTCTAAGAATATCATAGTCTACCAAAATAAGACCTTTTGTTATCCTCACAAAAAAAAGAAGACCTTTTGTTAACACAGAAGAAGCACATGTACCACATGGAAATATTGTAATTCTGGTTGCAAGTTTTCATATATCGAGAGCCAATTCAAAGAGTTGTGTATGTTACTAATCGACATATATGTAGACTTCTCACAGGAGTAAACCAATTCACAGGATGCCCTGTAAGATAACTAACCTTTACTTCCAGTTGCAACCCATGCACGACCTCCACTAGTACCTATATTTCATAGGAACTGTAGTGATGCCAATTAATTCAAAACAAACAAAGTTATGTAATATATACCTCCTTCGTCCCCTTGATTCCACTGTGGCACATAATCCTGAATAGCTGCTCACAAGATTTCCATTCGAATTTAACTCCCACATCTGCGTTCATCATTCATGTGTAACAAATGCCATAAGTTCAGTTGCCAAACAGGATAATTACTAGTTGAAATAAAGTGAATTGCCCGTCTTTCCCTAATAGCTTAAGCTTTTGGGTTGAACTGGCCGAAACCAGAGGTCTCGAGTTCGAAACCAGAGGTCTCGAGTTCAAATCCTGCCTAGCACAATTGAATAAACAATAATTGTTGCTCGCCCCTATTCAATGTTTGAGGCATGAGGAAGCTTTTGGGTAGTAATGTGTTAGGTTTTGTGTGCAGTAAGCAACACTTCATGGAATCTTCTCTGTTGAAAAGGTTGTGAAGGTGGTGGTGACAACCAAAGTTCAGCTAGGCGCTAGGCGACTTCTAGGCGATGACCCATAGCCTAGAGCCTAGGTGAGCTTAAGCGAGCCTAGGCGTTTTAAGGCGTTTTTCTAGACGTTTTGTATATATACTAATATACATATATTATCTTCTAAAAGAAAAAATAAACAGCTGAAATAGTGGGTTTAGATAGATTGAAAGGCTGGCTTAGAGAGATAGAAAGGCTCAAATGGCAACAGTCCAGCCCATCTCCCACTCCAGGTCTCCAACCTTATCCTTCTGTTTGGTCTCCCGCATCCTCTGCTCGACGCCGCTTCCTCTGTTCGGTAGCCCGCATCAGCCGCCGCCTCCGATTCCTCTCCCTCTCCGGCATCTCTCTCTCCTCTAGTGCGTGCCCGCCCCCGCCCGCGCACGCGCCCGCCCCCGCCCCGCAGCTCCTCCTCCTCTACCGGCGACCTCCGCCAGAAGCTCCTCCTCCCCCACCGGCGCCGCCGACGAGCTGGCGCCGCCTAAGGGTCCGCCTACCCCCTAGGCCAGGTAGGACCCCCCCGCCTGCTGCCGCCCGCACACGCCCACGCACGCCCACATCCACCGCCACGCCTCTCAGCTCTCCTCCTCCCCACCGGCGACCTCCTTCCCCACCGGCGACCTACCTCCTTGCGCCTGGATGTCCGCCTACCCCCATAGGCCAGGCGGGAACCCATCGACTAGCAACTAGTCGCGCCTAGGCGCGCCTAAGGCGTCGCCTTTTTTAACACTACTGACAACAGAGATCTTACCTGTTTTGCATGCCACCTGCATGCAGAGAACATAGGAAACCTGATCTCTGAGGCAGTCTGCCTTCGACCAGCAGATGCATCCAAACAAGTATCATCAGTGTTTGTAACTGAAATATGAAACTTTGATTGGTGTTCCTTGTTGTCCATGATAATGACATCCCTACAATGTATAAAATGTATTAATAAGAATTATTGAGTGAACACTTCTCTGTTTATGAATAGGGTGGATCTTACGGTGCAAGAAGACGTTTTGTTTTTCCCAGGCAAAATGAGACATTTTTATCATTCAGTATTTCATAGTTCCTGCATATATGATCTGGTTTCCCATCTTGTGGAAACATATACCATCCGTTAGCTGCATCGTTGTTGCAAGCAGTGAGACTGACAAACATGCCATCATTCTTGGTAAGGTGAACAGGATGAGACCTAAAGTGACCAGAATGTTCTTCATTTGAAGTCCTTTTACTGTACACATAATGGAACTGAAAATATCGACAGGTCAGTTTACAATTCATTTGTGCTTACAAAGCAGACACCATTCTAATAGGAAGCCTCCAATGCAGGTACCTCCATGTTATTTCTACTATAGTGGTTTATCTTCAACAAAGCAGGATTGGTAATTATGTTTAATGTACTATCGTCAAGATTCCTTAAATCTCCTCCATACATGAGAGGTGATTTAGCCATTGACCAAAGTGCCATCTGTAAGGTCATGTCAAAGAAAAAAGAGTTCATTACTACACAAAAATAGATACAGAACACTTAAATTTGAAGTGATCACCAACAACAACCTGTGCTTTCTGTTCATCAAGAGTAAGGTTACATTTCCTGTGAGGGCCCTGATTTACACCTGCATTAACAGAAGAAAAAGGGCCTGTTTCTCATACAGCTGCATGTATATTATTTCATTCAAGATATTCTTGGAAAAAGAATAAGGGAATTAAAAGAAAAACAGAGATAAGACATGTACTCAAACAATTCAAGAAAACTTTCAAGAAGATGAGTTAAATGTAGTTAAACAAATTGAAGAGTTAAATGTGGTTGAATAAATTAATACACTCACACCTGCTACCAACTGAGCTAGGCCAGTTTCTCTCTTTTGGCTAAAATAAATTAATACTTATAAAAGAGAATAATTAATGCCATAAAAGTGTAGATTTTCCACATTTCCTATGCAGATTTCAGATATTTCATACACCAACCCCAATTATTAAAAAGTACCAAGCTGGGACAGACATTGTCCACAGTGCCTCAATGGAACTTCCATTGCCACAAAGAATATATTTGAACGATGGAATGCATTCATATTGTTTGTTAGTTTGTCTTCGAAATTTACTCTGTTTACTGATACAAAATTTACTAACATGCATTTAATAGAAAATTATGATTCATTTTCTCCTGAATATTGTGAATTTGCTTCATTGTTAAAAGTCATTAGAGCCAGACAACAATCAAGATTAATTTTATTTCTTAACGTAGAATTAAATCATACTTGGATCAGTAAGCCATCCAAATGGAAGCATGTCTAAGTCTGGCCAAGATCTTCCTCGCAACCCAGTGGCACCAATCTTCTTAGCAGCAGCAAAGGAACTGCATACAATATGCAAAGGAAAATAAAAGTAAGAAATAAGTTTTTATTTACTAGACAACATACATATACAAGGTATGAAAACTAATGAGTATATATGCAATGAAACAGAAGAAGAAAATATCTGTTCAATTTACCTTGACACACCAAAATGTGAGCTCACATCCTTCCAGTTGTCCCAATCATCTCCAGTTATCCTATACATGTTAACATGATCACTAATATTCTCAGCTAATGCTGTAGTAACTGAAGTTCCTGGTGAGATTGACAGGATGATCGGACGATCAATTTCTTGCAATAGCTGCAATATAGGTATTAGCTGATTCCAGAAGTGCACCGATTTCAATGAACTAGTGTAATTAATTATAGGATAGGGAGTTATACCTCTGAAATAGTGATGATTTCTTCTGGGCTATAATCTGTGCCGAAGATACAATCAACCTTTACTGCAAACAAAACAGAATGGTCAATATGGAAGAATTTATTCAATCCTCAGTTTTGGCAGCAGAGGGAAAGGTTCAACTAAAGAGTTGAGATATTCAGATATCTGTATGCTATCCACAGAACCATGCACCTAAAGAATAAGCATACCAAAATCAGCACCCCAATCAGCATACTGTCGATAAAGAGATCTTAAGAAGGCCCGTCCAGCTCCAATATCCGTATTAACACTCATAAATCCATGCGTCATCCATGCACAAGTTCTGTGACTGAGACCTATGTCTCGTGCTGTCCACTGACGGCCATCCTCTAGATACGGTTTTCCCTGAAAGGAATCACAAGAGACCATTCTAAGAGCTGTAAACTAGAGTACAGCAGCTTCTATATGCATTTCAGTATTGGCTAATTGTGATGTCCTGTTTCCAAGAGTCACTTGTTCAATTGTAGATAGAAGCTCAAATTTCACAGTAAAAAAAAACAGAGTTTTTTTTTTTTTCAAACATGCAGGAGAGCTGTGCATATTTGTATTAAGAAGAAACAAGGGGTAATAACCCTTACAACACACACACCCACACACTCAAGAATCTAGAAAGCACAGTGGCTAAGTTGTTCAAAACATCAGATAATATGAAACCACAGGAATATCATGTAGAAAATTAAAAAATACTATGGGAAAGAACATTTCACACAACATTAAGGAATAATGGAGCAGATAAGTAAATCAGAAATTTGTTGGTGCCCAGGGGAACCAGCATTCCGATGAGCAAAGATACAGTTTATCCAACATTTTGCAATGTTTCAAAAAAAACTCGAGAAAGGATAATGTTTGAGACACAATTTATCCAACACATAAGGTAATCCTGTAAAAAATAAGTTTTAAAATTAAAATCATCTTTCATATCGATATTCAAAAAAGAATTAAGAATGGTTCGCGTGTATACAAGTTAACTTTAACAGTGGTTATTGGTTTTTGGGTATACAACATGATGTTAACAAGGATTAATAGCAGAGTTGGACAACCCTGACAGAATGAACATGACAAAACTTTCCAAAGTAAAATGCTAATTTCGAACACTACTAATTGTCATGTAGTAGCATATTAAAAGGAAGAACTGTACCGTCTTAATGTCCAAGATAGGCGTGTTTGCATCAACAGCCTGCACACTTATCCCTTTCATCAAATGGATGCCAAATTTCAAGCCCATTCCATGAACCTTACTGGCAATTTGACTGAACCCTCTATCGACTCTAGATGATGGAAATCTTTGAAGGTCCGGAAAAGGTCGACCCCATTCATCAATGTTGTCAAATCCATATGAATCTGTGTATGAACCTTCAACATATTTCCGGTACCAGAGGAAATCAATAACTGCATACTAAAAGTTAAACAAGTCGTCAGGATTTTACTCACTCGCATTTCTTATGCTCTTATCTATAACCAAATTAAAGAGTTAGGGGAATAACCTGATATCCATGTGGGAGTAACTTCTCTGCCATGATCTGTGCATTTTGCAGGTATGCATTTTCGTCTACAGTCCATGAAAAAGAATCATATGAGTTCCACCCTCTTGGAGGTAACACAGCATGTTCTTCGTTTGCCTCGGAAGTACCCCTGAAATTTACATATACGAATAAATCGAAGTAATAGTCATTTTTCTTTAGTTTTGGTTACAGTAGATCAAATCATGAAGCTCTGTAAGTAAATTTCTTCATTATACAGAACCTAACTGTAGTTTTTTTTTCTACTTTGACAGTAGCACTGCGTCATATTCACAAATGCTTGATTGAGATTAAGTTAGAAAAAAAATAGTGTTAAGACACACACCAATGTATGTATATTCATCAAGCTGATTTTATGCACATGTGTGCTCGTGTTGGTGCATTGGGCCTAAAACTACACAGCAATGTCCATGACGCATCAATTTGGCTAGCAAAAGGGTTATCATCTACTTGAGCAAACTCGTCGGTTTCTACTCCAGTCCGAGTGCCGGCGTTGTTCACTCTACAATTATGAGGGATATTAGAGTATAATATGGTAAGAATCAGGAATGATCTAAGTTGTTATTGTAGGGTGGAATTAGTTTTGTCTTTATTGCTTGAGATCCAACCATGTACTGTAAAGCAGGCACACGAGGCTCAACACGGAGCATTATATTCATATTCTCATAGAAATCAGGCTACTCAGTGATTGGGAAATGTCTCTCAAAATTTCCTGAAACAATTCATTGGTCTAGAGACTTCAAGCATTTAGCCTAAAATAACAACTCAGTATTACAGTCTTGGTAGTAATAAGATGCAAAATAGCACAACTCCAACGAATCAATGAAGTAACTGAATTGCTGAAGCGAAAGTAGTGGCACCTAGTTCGGGAACTAACCTGAGTCATCGCTGCAACCAAACAGAAAAAAAAAATCCATCCAAAGTATATAAAGTAGAACCACAAGAACTGGCAAGAAGTGCGTACTGACCAGAGCAAGAGAAGGAGGAAGTGGAGGGCGCGGCAGAGGCAGAGACGCCTCCATGGCGGAGGAGAGGTAGCCCCGCCCATGGCCTTCCCGCCGCCGAACAGGACTCGCTGCCTCTGGGGTGTGCTGTACTGCTGTGACGGGAGCAGAACAGAGCTGAGGCGAGCTGGGAGAGAGAGGTAGAGAGCAGGCGGCACTTTATTGGAGTGGCACTGGGTTGTTGGGGGAGAGAGTGCGTCTGCTGTGCTGCCGGCTGCGTGTCGACTCCCGAGGAGGTCACGGGTGGCATCTGTTTGGCGGCACGCCGGTTCTACGTGTAGGCAGGCCGTCGAGGGCTCGACGCCTGATGATGACTGATGAAGGGATGAGACGCTGAAACCGGTTTCTTCGTTGGGTTGAGATGATTCGATTCTATCCGCGGATACAGGCATCTGTGGTTATTATATTCGACCGGTGGATATGCGTATGAGTAGGACTGTAGGAGCAGGAGTACAAAAATATAGTTATGAATGAATTTTTACGTGTTATAAGTAATTTATATCGCGGATAGATATTTACTTTATGTGTGCGCTTTACTCGATCTAGTCTGAATATCAACAGAACAGATTAAAATGAAGTACACCAAAAGCATATAAAATAAATAAATACCAAATAATTTTGTGTGAAATTCACTATGAAAAAATCATAAATTGTAAATGTACCTGTTTTCGGGAAAAACACTGTTATTCAATGAAGAGAAAAAATAAGGGTATTTATTTGTTAGTGGCAAGCGAAGTATAAAAGTTGTCCCAAGCTATGCACAAAGAGGAGACAAAACTGTCTTAGTAGCCAAATAAAAATCGGAAATGCTACGGTGCAGGGCGTCTAACCATCCGGACATCGCGCTTTCTGGGTGCGCGCGCTACCAGCCCAATAGGCATGTTTCCCTTAACCTTCGCTCTTTCACTGTTTCTCAAAATAAAATAAAAAAGACGGCGACATTCCCAACTAGCACTGCCATCGCGGCATTCCCTACCACTCGCCCGCCACTCGCCTTCTTCGACGGCAACCACATCAGCTTCCTTCGTCCCGGGGCCCTCACTCGGCTCCGCGACGCTAGGCTTGCGCTGCTGGAGTCGTGCCCGCCGCCCGCCCCTACCCTCATTGCCGGAGCCGATGCCGACATCCTCCTCGTCACCTCCTCCTATGTCTGGAGACCACGAGAGCATTGCGGCCATGCCGTACTTCGAGCTCGCATCGAGGCTCCACGCGCCAGGGTGCCCCAGCGGCAGAAGCTCGCGACAACCAAGCCCATGGTGCTCTTCGCTCTACCACCTCCCAGCCCCGATCTGCTCATCGAAGCGGTTATCGAGTTCCTCAACGCGCCTGACATGGTGGCCGCCTCCCACTAGAGTGTCGCGCCTGATATGTTGCAAGCGTATGTTTCAAGTGTTTCAGATGTTCCAGAGGTAATGTTGAAAGTGTTTCATATGGATGTTACAAAACTAGATTGAGATGTTGCATACTCCCTCCGTTCCAAATTATAAGTCGCTTTGACATTTTTTATACATAGAATTTGCTATGTATCTAGACATATATTACATGTAGTTACATAGCAAAATAGATGTACCAAAAAAGTCAAAGCGACTTATAATTTGGAACGGAGGGAGTATGTTGCAAAATGTTCCAGAGGCATGTTGCAAGTTTTTCAGAGGCATGTTATAAACGTTTGTTCAAAATATTTCATGTGTTTAGATGTATATTGCAAACGTTTTTATCTAGAGGTTGCATATGTTTCATACATATGTTGCAAGAGTATGTTCAAAATATTTCAGTCGTTTCAGTCTTATGTCGCAATAAGTGTTTTCATGTTGTAAGTTGCGAGTGTTTTATCTGGATGTTGCATATATTTCACACATATATTGCAAGTGTATGTTCCAAATATTTCATCTACTTTAGACGTATGTTACATTTAAGTGTTTCATGTTCCAAGTGTTTCGTGTTTCAGAGGTATGTTCAGATAGTGAAAGGTCCCTAGATTGGTTTTCGTAATTGAGTGACAACCTAGGTGGACTAATGTGTTTAATTGGGGGATACACAGGTGTTTAGTCTACAGTATACTTGTGTGAGCAACTCATGCCATGACGGTAAAGATGGCTTGGATTTGTTGCAAGGCTCACACATGTGATGAAGGAGCTCATTGCATATGAGACATGACATGGAGTCATGTGACTAAGGTGGAGAAGATCAAGACAAGACTTGGCTTGATGGACCGGTTGCAAATGTGAAGGGCAAGTTGAGTGATGACTTGGCGCCAATGGACCAAAGCAACGGTGAAGAGAAAGTGAAGTCAAGATCGATGAACCAATACGGTCACGTGATGATATGAAGTGGATCATATCATTTGTGATTGGTTGATGCATGTGTTGCATCAACAATGGAGGAGAAGAATAGAATGTGTAGAGCAAAGGTATAACCTATAGGGAATTTCATTTCACCGGTCATATGTGTGTAGAGAAGTTTATGACCAGGTTTAGGATAGATGGTCGTACTATCACGACGGGAAAACTTATTTGCATATCGGTCATCTAGTGCCACTTGAGCGATCTAACTTTGCATACGTGTTAGGGTCGAGTGGCGTGGTGAAAAGAGTGCTAATCCATTGGAAAAATGTTTTTGAAAAGCTAACACACATGCACAAGGTGGTGAACACTTGGTGGTGTTAGCACATTTGCAAATGAGAAGTTGAAAGGTAAAGAAATGAGGCAAAACCAGACTCGGGGTGCTGCCCTGGGGGCACCGCCACCCCGGGGGCGGTGACCGCCTGGCCTTGGCCAAGAGCAGCTGTGAAGGGGGTGGCACCGCCCTACATTGGTGGTGGCACCACACCCTTGTGTCCGGTGACCAGCAGAAGGCTGTCTCGTGCGGGCGTGGGTGACTTGGTCACTGCCGGCACCGGTGTGCACCGCCATGCCAGGGGTGGTGCACCGCCTTGCCCTGTCCGGTGGCACCGCCACTTTTTACCCGAGGCTGGCGAGTTCGAGTTTGAGCCGGGGTGGTCACCGCCATGGTGACGGCAGTGTACCACCGCTTCTTTCCAGAGAGGAGGGAAACCGAGGGGTGGGCCTAGGTGGTCACCGCCACCCCTAGGGCGGTGCCACCGCCACCTTGTCCGGTGACCAATTTGACCGTTGGGAGGGGCACCGCCGTGTTCGGTGCCAGGCACCATTGTGTCCGGTGCCCTCGCAGAAACCAGCAACTTTGCTCCAACAGCTCTATTTCGCTTGGGGCTATAAATAGAGGTGGAGCTCGGCCTTGGGCTGGTTGCTGAGCACCCTTAAGCCTTGGTGGCTTGTGTAGGTGTGCTTGGGAGCCCTCTAACTCACATACCCTTGATAGTGATCATCCGATTGAGTGTGAGTTTGATTTTAGTGCGATTGCATCATGAGGTTGCATCGAGTGGCACTAGGTGATCGAGTTGCAAGCCGGTAGTGCTTGTTACTCTTAGAGGATGCCACCTCCTAGATGGCTTGGTGGTGCTCTCCGTTGAAGCACGCAAAGAAGATTGTGCGGTGCTCCGGAGAAGTGATTGTGAGGGGTACCGTGCTCACCCCGCGGGAGCCGCGAAGAGCAACATTAGTAGAGCGTATCATTAAGCTACCCTCACTTGTGGGTAGATTCTTGCGGTGCCTAACATGTGGGCTTGGCGAGTGATGCCAATTAGCTGTCGAACCACCAAGTGAGCAGTCGACATAACAGGGACTAGCATGTTGGCAAGCACGTGAACCTCGGGAGAAAAATCACCGTGTCAACCTTGTTCTTCCTGTTGGTTTGCAATCCTCGTACACAAGCTTGTATTTACTTTCATATATATTGTACTTGTGTAGTTGCTCTTGTAATTAGTTAACTTGTGTAACTTGCTAGTTATCTTCTTGCTTGTGTAGCATAGAAGTAGCTCCCTTGCGTGATTAATTTGGTTTGAGTAACCTTGTTAGTCACATTTCTTAGTTTGTATAGCTAAGTAATTTGTGCTCTATAATTTGGCTTATGTAACCTTGTTATTGAGCATTGCTAGTGAGTTTAGGTGGCTTTATGCTTTTACTTACTAGCATGTGTAGGAGCTCCCCCATTGCTTGAAGTATTAGTGGTATAGGTTTGTGTGACCTTGCTCCTAGAATTGATTAGGTGAGCTCTAGCTAGCCTGGCACCTTTGTTGCCTAATTAGGATCTTTATAAGGTGCTTGTGAACTTAGATAGAGGGGTGTAGTCTTGGCTAGACCGTTAGTTTTAATTCCGCATTTGTTTCAGTTAGCCGGTGTGATTATTTTTAGAAAGGACTATTCATCCCCTCTAATCCGCTATCTCGACCCTACACGTGGTATCAGAGCTAGGTCTCTCATTTGTGGTCTTCACCGACCCGAGAGGATGGCGGTTTATGAGCTAGATGTTGAGTGTCCATACACTTTTGATGGCACACACTTTGCACGGTAGAAAAATTGGATGACATGCAATTTTAAGTTCATTTCCCCTCAAATATGGTGGATTGTAGATGTGGGCTTTTCTCATGCATTGGATGAAAAGAATGTAACTCAAGCGCAAAAAAATGCCTACATCTCGATTGCCAAGCTACTAATATTTTCTATCAATCTATGAGTGACAAGATATTTTGGGAGATCATGTACATGAAGACCGTCCATGATATTTGGTTGTACCTCAACTTGATATATAGGAGTATCTTCAATGATGATGATGAGGCCACCATGAAGGAGGAGCATGAGGATGTTGAGTATGACCATAATTTGGTGATTGTGGAAGATTGCTCCACCTCATGGTCAAGTGATGATGATGACAATCGATCTACCACAAGTTCACTTGACATGATGGATGGTGATTTCCCAAGTGATGCAAATGATGACTCCACCTCAAGCACACTTGGTGATGAAGATGGTTCATGCTCGGGCCATGATTGTGATGCTACTACAAGCCCATTCACTACACCACATTACTTCATGTCACAAGGTGACACCAAGGTATCTAATGCTAATGTGGTTGATAATATTGATTCATATAATGAGCTTGTTAGTAGACTTGCTAGCATTACCATGTCTTTAGAAAATGAGAAAGCTAAAACAATGAAATTAGAAAATGAAAACTCATTTCTAAAGAATTCATGTGAAGAACATAAGCACTTACCTGATGATCTTAAATCTTCACATGATGAGCTAAAATTGATTCATGAGAAGCTTCTTGTGTCTCATGAAGAATTATTAGAACAACATGCTTCTCTCATTAAAGTGGTTTCCAAGAAAAATAAAAATAATAAGAGCTTATCACATGGGTCAAATGATCAATCACATAATATTGCTAACCCATGTGATGTAGGCAAGAAGCATATATCCACCTCGTGTAATGATTTATTAGATATGCCATGTTCTTCACATATAGATGCTTGTTCTACTTCTAGGTCTTATGAGACTAACCTTTTGAAGGAGAACAATGAGCTCAAAAGAGAAGTAAAGAAATTGAGCAACAAGTTAGAGAGGTGTTACAACTCAAAAGTCACTTTTGAGCACATGTTGAAGACTCAAAGAAACTATGGTGACAAGTGTGGCCTTGGCTTCAACAAGAAGATGACAAAGGGCGAAAGAAAAAGAGAAAAGAAGATGAAGAAGGAAGCATGAGAGAAGCTCTCTCATTTCATGTGCTACCGATGCCATGAAGTGGGTCATCTTCATGATCAATACCCAAACATAGAGAAGCTCAAGTTGAAGAAAGAAGAAGAGAGGCTCAAGCATGTCAAGTGCTTCAAGTGCCACATATGGGGTCACCTCACCTCTATGTGCCCAACCAAGCAAGTGGTGGAGCAACAAGTTGAGCCTTAATCAAAGCCACAAGATGAGAAAGAAAAGAAACCCCAAGAGAAAATCAAGATCAACTATGAAGATGGGGGTGACTTGATGATGATGAAGAAGAAAACAAGAAGGGATAGAAGAGCAAGGCATCCAATGCTTGATCAAGATGCCAAGATGATGAGCAAGACTCAAGATGAGAAGAAGGTGTATGCTCATATCAAGTGCTTTAAGTGTGAAGATATGGGACACTTTGCCTCGAGGTGTCCTACCAAGCTTGAGAAGAAGGCTCAAGCAATTCTTAAGAGGCAAGGCAATGAGAAGCAATACATGAGCAAGGAAGAAAAGGCTCTAACCAAGAGAAATTGCTACTCATGCCGGGAAAGAGG